CCCTACTATCTCTTTGCTAATAGTTAGCAACATGTGAAAGGAAGAGAGATATTAAACTCGCCACACGTGTTCTGCTGCTAAAAATGATAACAATAGGCAACTGCCCAGGGACAATTAAAAATTAAATGCACACAGTCCACAATAATCATTGCCACATGCAGGAATCGCAGTAGTAGTAATCAGTAGATTTTGAATCTTTACTAAGTGTGCTGGGCCTTCAAAAACACTTATTTCACATGATTAAGCCTTATAATAATCACATAAATTAGGTACACAATTTATTCTCATTATACAGTCAGTCAAGAAATAAGCTATTAAATAACAGAGCAAGAGCTGGGCACTGGCAGACGGACTTGAAGCCTTTATTTTTCAGCATGGCACCATGTGGAAACACATTTCCTAACAGACAGAGACATATAAGTGTGCATTTACACAGTTTAAAAAGAATCAGGAATTGTGGCTGATCATGACTGAAATTGAGGTGGATTGTTTGTTCTACAGACCAACAAACAAACAAAAAAATGCATTTGCTACCCTAGTAAAATAAACACATTTCTCACTTGGGCAGGGAATATGTTTTCTAAGGCAGGAAACAGGTCCTTACCTGTTCAATGCCTTTTTATGGCAAGATTTGTCTCAGACAAACACTGGGCAAAAGCAGCCCGCTGAAGCCAGAAACTCATTTTACATAGTTGTCCTTTTCCCATTTTATGCTGGTATTTTACAGGAGGATAACCTTGTGACAAAAACAAAATAATTTAAATATATAATTTTTAAATTAGAATATCTACAATAGTTTATTTAATTTTTTCATGGTCATTCACTGGTTTCCCCAAACAAAATCAGTCTTCTTGACTTAATATGAATCTATGCCATGCTTAATGGCAATCAGTTAATAACATACCAATAAATCAACTGTCCATCCACCACCAGAAAATGTTATCTATGTGATACAATATCTTTATGAAGACTTTGCTCCTGGCCCAACACCAGCCTTCGGGGGGCCCCTGTGTGTACAGGCCTGACCCACCTCCGTAGGCTTACATGCCCTCCCCGCCCTATGAAGGGGCCAAACTTTAACACTAGGTCAAGCCTGGGCCGAAACAAGAAACTAGAACAAACAATACCCCAAGATGAAGGGAAGAATTAGAGCCCCCCCCTTAGTAACAAGATAGGACAACGGCTGAGCCTTGACTCAGACAAATAGCCCAAAAAGAGCAGGGTCAGAGCTGAGGATAAGGGAGAAACAAATACCAAGAAAAACATATCAGGGTGCAGCCCCCATGCAGCTGGGCCAGAGTCGACAAGAATGAGGAGGAGGCATAGGGCGAGGGTTGAGCCTTGCCTCAGATAGACATCCTGACCAGAGAAAGAGTAGGGGGCCCAGTAACAGCCTTGAACCTAATCAGCAAAAAAAAAAAAAAAGAAAGAAGCTGCCTATTGCTAACTGCCACTTCTCGCCCTTGTATCTTGCTTGCTTGCTCTGCTTATAAAAACCCGTGTACCCTTACAGCGGCGCGCCTTTTTCCTTTCGAGGGAAAGGTGGCCCCTGCGCAGGTAAAACTTGGCCAAATAATAAAGAGTGTGTGATCAAACTCTAATTTCTGAGCTCATACTTGTGGGGATCGTAACACCCTACCCCTGTTTTCTCACTGCCTATATTTGACACTTTGGGCTCCAAGTCTTCAAGACTAGTCTGGAGGATTTGAACACGGTTCTGCAGATCAGGGCTGCATACACTGAACTGCACATAAAAACTGGATGGACTCCTGGGAAGTGGCGGGGGAGGCGTCTGGGCCGGGGTCTATTCCCCGCCAAAACTAGACCCTGTTTCTGGAGACTTCTCAGGAGTCACACTTCCCCTGCGCCTTCACGGACACTTACTGGATGTCTGGTGTACCTGTTTCTCACTCGGGGAGATGGAGTGGGGGTCCCCAAGGACCATCTTGCTGATGGCAGGCGTGGAGCTCTGCAATGACAGTGACCATAGTCCATCTGGAGGCATCAGAGACTTGTCAGGCCATCGCTGATGCTTCTTTGGCCCATTTCCTGCTCTGATTTCAGATGAGACTCAGCCCTGTTTCTGACCAGACCTCCACTCAAGGGAAATGAGATTCATCTCCAGGCCTCAGGATAAACCTCAGGCAGAGGGCACACTCCACGTCCACCCAGCCAGCCTTGACCTGGGGTTTGCACATGTTCAGCCTGTGACTTTTGATCTTTCCTCAGCTGGCTCTTGCTCAGGGTGGTCCCTCCTGGTGTGAACCTTTCCCCTTCCACATACGCAGGGAGGTTATATATAGCCACTCGGGTGGGATCACAGTCATGGCCTGGCCCGACCTGGACCACCTGGGGCCTCTCTCTGTTACATTTTTGTCCCTCTGAGAAAAAGGCCAGTGGGAGGTGTCTGGGGTGACACTGTTAGCATAGGTAGCGAGATAGTAATAAAAGAAGGGAGCAAAGGGAATCCGACATTATTAAACCTAATAAACCAGGGGACTGAAACAGATAATAAACCTGCTTCATTAGAAAGTTGCAGCATTCATAGGCACCTGAGGGGATCACAGCATTTCCCTGCCAAGGGGAATAACACCCATCCCTCCCTCACGTCGGGAGGAAGGGCTGGCTTTCCAATCTTCTCATTGTACTACTGGTCCACTCTCCCAGGCTAAGGGGGAGGAATAAAACAGTAAGAAATTCCTCTGCTGGGCACATGCCCAGTAGAAGCCAAGATGGCGCAGGGGGTGGTCTGTCTACTAGAGGCATGCTCAGTAGGAACTAAGATGCTGACCATAAGGGGCAGAGCCTCGCCTGGGAAAAGGATCTGGTTGGATAAGGGAAGCAGAGCCCCGGAAGAGCTAGGAAATGGATTGTTTAGGGGGAAAGCCCAACATGAGCCTGCAAAGGATTGGGAAACTAGTTCATTTAAGAAAGAATCGTGCTTTCCAAGCCTGAGATAACATAATCCAAGCTTAACAAAGAGGCTCTCTTTTTCTCCCTCTTTCTCGCTCTCTCTCTCACTTGGTAACATGTGTTTTCCTGTTCATTTGTATGCTCCTGTGCTCATGCATTCTCTCTCCACAGCAGCCATGCGGGACCAGCGGCTGCGGGGACTCCAGGCGCGGGCTCCAAGCGCGAGCCTGGGCATAGCAATGCGGTGCCAGTCTGAGCACAGCTGGGAACAGGGACTACGCTAGCCAAATGGGGACAGAGGCTGAACTGGACTAAACTTTGACATGGCACAGAATTTTGGGACTCTGGCCTTTCTTCTGGGCTTGATGAAAACAAGGTGGGGCGTTTTCCTCTGTGGGACGGACGGAGATGAGGTATCAGGAACCTGGAGGCAGTCATTTATTTCAGTCTCAGTAAACCTTACTGCTACACCTCGACCTCCCGTGCACGGGTCCCTGGAAATGCTTTTCTCGTGCCTCTGTGGAAGAACCCCATTTCCACCAGGAACAAGATCCTGACCCCGGTCTTGTCTGCAGCACCTAGGCTGTCCCTGTGGCATTTCCTGAGTCCATGGCCTTGTGAACTGGAGACACAACAAGTATGCATGTTACTCTCTTGAGTGTCTCCAGCCGAGTGTGCTGAGTAGAAGCTTCTCTAGAATGTGGCTGCCTGGTTACTATGGTCCCAAGATCTGTTGAGATATGTCACCAGGAAGTAAGGTCACTGCCTGGGGCCCCCTACCGGGGCTTCCCCCTCAGAGGAGAGCTTCCCAAGAGCCCCTGTGGGCTGCTGACTGCTCCCCCAGCACCCCAAAGTTACGCCGTTGCTGTCCATACACATTACCACTGACACAGACCTCACTCAGCATCATAGGGACTGAGTGCAGCCAGGGTGCTTTGAGGACACAGAGCTGGGGTCAGACCGGGCTCTTCTTTCTTGTGATGTGACCCTAAACAAGCCATGTCTTCTCAAGGCTTTCCCAATGTAGCCCACTTCACACTGGGGTCATTCTAGCATCTACTTCCTGTGGTGTCAACTGTGCTCAGTGGAGCAGGTAGGGCAGGGAAGGGACAGTCGGGGGTCACTCTGAGCATCCCCCTGCCTCCAACCAACATGCACATTCATTATCACATGCAATCTCCACAATGTGAGAGTCTCAGGAAGTGAATTTCTGGAAGTGATTCCAGAGCAGACTCAGCCTGCCTGTATTGTGTTCTGGGCTCTGCCAGCCCTTTGTGTGACCCTTCCGCTGCTAAGTCTCTGTGTGAGTCCCTGTGATCTTGGCCCAAGTATGGGCAGAAGCCTGTCATTCTCAATGGGAAGCCTCCAGCATTCTTTGTGTAAAATGCCCCCAAATAAAGAAACAGGAAGTTAATTGTTGCATGCAGCCAAGGGAGCCTTGGAAACTCACTCTGAGGAGTCTGAATGGAGTATAAAGATGCCCTAAGGTGACTGAGAGGTCACAACAAGCAAACTAGACTGGCCCTATCGCAGGGGGCGATGGGCAGGGCTGTGGGGAGGCGGGAGCTTCCTGTGACTGGGCCCTGGTCATATCACACAATAGCATGTCTAAGCCTGGGCAATAGAGGGCGCTAGAGGCTGGTTTGTGAGTGTCTTGGGCGATAGAAGCTGGGATGAGCCGCCTGGCACTGCCTGGTGCCCTGTGCTCATAGCTGCAGCGTTCACACTCCCTGCACCCACACACGGCCCCCTTTGGTCCCCCCACCAAGCCGTCCTCCAGCGGAGGGGCCCAGTGGGGGTTCAGAAACCTGGGCGCTTCATTTGCATGAGTGGACCCTCCCTTTCTCAGAGTATGAAGAGGGAAAGGGAGAGATTCAGGAGAAGCTCTGCTTCCGCTGTGGGGCCACAGGATAAGGTGACAATTTCCATCATGGCCTAGTCCCCTCTCCTCCTCACCCTCATCACTTCTGCACAGGTGACTGGATAAGGGGACAGGAAAAGAGGCCCTAAACAAAACAGTTGGGGCTCTGTATTCTCCTCTTGTCTCTAGGCCCAAGAACCACCATCTCTGTGTCTTCCTCCTCTAGGATCCTGGGCCCAGTCTGTGCTGACTCAGCCGCCCTCAGGGTCTACGGCCCTCGGACAGAGGGTCACCATCTCCTGCACTGGAAGCAGCTGCACTGGAACCAACATTGAGTATGACTATGTCCTCTGGTACCAGAAGTTCCCAGGGACGGCCCCTAAACTCCTGGTCTATCATGAGAGCCATTAACGCTCAGGGGTCCCTGATGGACTCTCCAGCTTCAGGTGCAGAAACTCGGCCTCCCTGACCAACACCAGGCTCCTGACTAAGGACAAAGCTCAGCATGGGACTGTAGTCTCAATGCTCCCAGTGCCCCAGGCCTGAGGGGAACTGAAACCAGAACTCTTTTCTCATCTGCCAGGAGGAGGGGACCCCGGCAGGTGCCTGCTCAGGCTCCGCCTGTGATTTTGTCTTCCCACCATGAATCCAATTTGATCCATCACCGAGGCCTGGGGTGAAGGCTCCTCCTCTTCATTCTGTACTCAGAGTCACTCACAGAAGCTCGTTCCTAGACAAAGTCTCAAAGGTAACTGAAAGTCCATCTCTCCATTTGCTGGGGACATAGTCCCTTTGCAGTGAAGCTCAGGGGCTGTGGTCAAAGGTCCAGATATGGTCCTCTCAGACCTGAAATCTGATGAAAATTCTGCATGTCCATCATTGGTTATTTACCTATTTCCAGAAGTTTCCAGAGCTGTTTCATTCTCCTTAGTTCTCAGTATGAATGCCTGTTTTTTTGTTGTTGTTTTTTATTTTTGTACACAGGCAGATTTCTTCTGTCCCCGCTGCACCGTCAACGAGCACCTCGGCCTGTAGCCTGCCTTTGGGGCTTGGGAATGACCGCTTGTCTGTTCCCATCAGTGCAAAGACCTAAACATCAATATAGTCTTATTTAATTGCATTGTCTTACATGTGCAGAATGATGTTGAACGATAATGGGGTTAACGTCACTTTGGCTTGTTCCTGATCTTCGTGGGAATGTCTTCCCCCCACCCCACTCCATGAGATGCTAGCTGTAGGACTAAGTCAGGTGTGTGTATTACCATATTATAAATGTATCTGTTTCTAATTTAATGTGATTTTGATTAGGAGTTTGCTTTAAATTTCTGAAAGACTCCTTAGGACCTATTGACATAACATGACTTTATCTGTTGGTCTATTAATATGGTATATACTATGAAAGGGTTTATCAATATGGAACCCAACTTGTACACCTAGAATAAATCACATGTGGTAATGCTGTATCAATTGATTATTCTAATATAGGAATATCTCTTTTAATATTTTACTTAGAACATTTGCATTAATATTTCATAAAATTTGTCTATAAATTTCCTATTTCTGTTTTTTATTTGTCAAGTATAGTTATTATTATTATACCTGTTTTATACAAGATGCAGAGAATTTTTGAACTTTTAAAAAGGTTTTTTGAAATACATATATGTGTATATATGTAATTAAACAAATTGAAACCATCTGAACCATGAAGGTTTATCAGTTCCCTGTGAAACCAACTATATCTTAGGCCTAGTTATGAAAGAGTTCTATAATAATATTTCTATTTTTTCTAATAAAATTGACTTTATTAATTTTTTTGGTAATGGAAACAATTATCTTATTAAGACAATATGCATTTTCTTTATTTTTAATAGAAGTTAACACTTAAATTTTAAGTTAAAATTTTTTTCCAACTGTCCTATTTTACATATTTCTGCATTTTTATTCAAAAGTTAGTAAGTTGTTATTTTATTCTGTTAATTATTTAAAAGACTATTTATTTCTAGAGAGAGGGAAAGGGAGCGAGAGAAGGAAAGACACATCAGTGTGTGAAAGAAACAAGGATCTCACACACCCCAGGCACGTGCCCTGACTGGGGATCAAACCAGCAACCTTTGAGTTTGCAGGGCATCACCCAACCCACGGAGCCACACTAGCCAGGGTTATTCTGTTACTTAAAAGGATGGTTTTGTTGTGCCAATTTGTTTTTCAACCCTCTCCCTCACTTACTGTTACATTCTCATAATGAGAAGATGTTTCTTATTTGCTCTTTTATTTTCTTGTACTTGGCAGAACTTGCAGTGTCTCCATCTCGATTGTTTTTTCCTTTTACCATATGGTTTTCACGGAGCTTTTCTTTTTTCTTTAATTAGACTTTATTTTTTAAGAGAAGTTTTTGCTTTACAGCAATTTTGAACAGAAGGTGGAGAAATTTCCCGATGTTGGGAGCCAAAATTATGACCTGGCACCACCAAAAGCTGGGGGCCCTTCCCAGTATCTTCTGAGGTTCTGCTCAGTCTCAAATAAGAACCAGGGCTCTGGTGTCCCCACTGCTTCTTGGGGTCCAGAGATGCCTCCGTGAACTCAGGTTATTGGCTAACCTGTGGTCTTCTCCCTGAGGATATAGCTGCTCAGGTGTCAGACACAGAGTGATAGTATCACTGCTCACACTGTGCCCCTGTCCCTGGGGAAGGGAGGCAGAGCCCTCTGCTTGGGCTGTCACTGCGGGTGACAACAGCCAGCAGTGGAGTGACAATCCAGCCATTTATGTCCCACTGCGGGGACTCTGCCGGGCTGCCATGGAGCTGGCACTTAGAGAATGTCTACGCTCTCACTAATAAGACCCGCTCCTCCTCATTTCTACACAGCATCTACTCCTTGTTCAGTACACAAAGCTCCAGGGTGAATTTTGTCTCTTACGTGGCACCGGAGATTTCTTCACCAAAATGATCCCATTTGTGGTCCATTATGTGGTCCATAATTATCAATCAGGGACTCCTGTGGGAAATACCTGACTTGCTCAAAACTCAAAATAGGGTAACTTGTATATTTAACAGAGGCAATTTATGGATTTGTGAGCAGAGTATCCTGAAACCCAGGCGGACAGAGAAAACCATAACCTCGTGACAGTGGGATCACAGATGTCCCTGCAGGATAACGCAGGCCAATGGGGGATTGCTCTAGCCCCTGGGGACTCCACAGGGAATTCTCCAACCATCCCGTCTTTTATCTGTAGACGTAGATAAAGTTACCAGAAGCTGGTTAGCACCCTCACAGTTTGGGCTACATAATGAAAATACAGGGTAGTGATTCTGCTGCCACCAGGAGGTGCTGTGGGCCTGTTAAAAGTTGGAGAGACCGATATCAACCTTTCCCGTCACCCTCACCGTCCTGTGGGAAAAGGCCGAGCCTGCTCTAAAGGGACCAGGAGCAATGGACCTCAGCCCTGGGTGACTCTCCCTCAGTTGTTACAGCTCTAACCCCATTGAGGAACTAGAGGCTGGTCTCCCTCAGCCCATGGGAAAAACCCAGATCATATTTGCATGAATCGATTCCATTCCCAAGAAAAAAGGGGAATAATGGGAGAGACTCAGTTTCCCTGGTTCCCATGTGGAACACAGAAGGCTGTGCTGTGTTTCTTACATGGCTTCAGGTTTGTGTAGAATAAACAGTCCACACGAGAACGCCTGTTGCGATGCAAAAGCAGCTCAGGGAAGAGTTCCTTCCCTCACACACCATGAAGCGTCTTCTCCAGACATTCCTGACCCTGGGGGGAACCCCAGAACTGCCACCTGCTTCCACTATGAGGACCCGAGCAGCAGCCACAGCAGAGTCAGCACAATGAAGGTCCCTGTCATGTGGTCTTCCTGTCAGGGAGGGCAGGTGGGGATGCGACTCTCTTGATGGGAAAGGGAGCTGTGGGGATCCTGAGAGAAGCCAGGAAAGAAATCTGCCAAACCAGAAGACGTGAGGTGGGTGACAGAGGACAGGGGTGTGAGCTCACAGAGGCTTCTCTGAGCTGACGCTGTGCTGCACTGTGACTGGGTCGATCTTCTCCCAGGTTCTCTGTGCCGGCTCAGCTTCCTCATGTCCTCAGCCATTCATTCCACCATATTCTGCAGGTTCCTCGGACAACCGCCCTGTGGAGGGGTGGGGGGATGTATGGGGGCCCAGTCATGAGGCTGGCAAAGGGGTCCTTTTTCTCTGCCTTAGATGCTCCTCTCTGATCTTCCTGTGTCATCTTCTCTCTCCTGTTAGAGGACCCCCAAAACTTTGCATCCCTGCCCTTCAAGGTAAGTTATCTACTTCCCCCAAACGAATGAACTTTTTATCCTGAGAGAACAAGGAGGAAATCGCGTCTTCACCTGGGATTAAATGAGGAAAACCCTCTCATCCCTTTTGTCAAATTCCCCCCAAAAAAGAGCCCTGCCCTGGACCCCATTCGGCTCTGCTCACCCGAAGGATCTCTTCCTTACTCCTGTCCTCCTTTTTCTCTTGCCTACCTAACTGTAGCTGTGCCTTCGTCCGTGACCAGGAGCAGACCCTGGACCGCCTGCGTGGAATAGACATATGGACAGAGACAGAAAACAATTACAGAAAAGATGCACAACCCATGGGATTGGCGTGGTGTCCGATACTCAAGTGTCTTCCCAAGCATCACCATTCAGCTGTCTCCTAGAGAAATCCTAGCTGGGACGAGAAGAGATAATGACCAGCAGCTTCTGCCTCTGTGAAAAACAGGAAAGGCATTTGTGTCCTCCGCACAGCGTGACCTCAGTGCCCTGGTGCTCATCCCTGATGTGTGTGGGGGGGATGGGAGTGGGGGGGAAGGGGTGGGGAGCAGGAAGGGCTGAAAGCTTTTAAAGTGGTGGGTCTTTTACTTTGAGCAAACTGGAACGTTCTTGGACCGTATCAATGAGGTTTCATTCAGGTTTTCTGAGTTTCTTATTAGAGAGAAGTAGACGCTTAAGTGAGATTTTTAATATGTCTTCTTTATGGCTTGTGCACAGATTTCTGCTGTAAATTCCTTTGAAAACATTATCTAACTGTTGCTGAGGGTCTGTGTTGTGCAAAGCACTGGACCTGCTCTCTAACCACCAACTTGCACAGTTTTGTTGTTGTAGTTATTATTATTTCCTTCATTTTACAGAACTGGTCATTTCTGTTGGCTAGAAAGATAAAATGAGTTACTTAGAGTTATCCCAACAGTAATGACAAAACTAGCTCTTGACTTAAAACTTAACTGACGTTAAAGTCCACAGTTTAACAAGAACATAATCGTGTCTCACACATTTATAATAAAGTAGATCAGTGTTATAAATAGCATTGTAAAATTAGCAAATGCCTCACTCTTTGCCTGAGTATTTTTACTTAATATTCCAGCTGGCCTCATAAACTATGAGTTATAGACACCC